AGAATTATCTAAGTAATGGAAATAGTAACAGTAAGTTGCTCATAGCCATTGTTGTGCAAAATTCATATTATAGAAATCAAAATCATGTATACTGTATGCATAATACATGACTAATAATGTATTTTTGTCTTAATGTATTGTAGTCTTAAAACTATGAGCTGTTTTAGAAATATTCACATTTGATATTGGGGAAACTCATAGGAAATAATATTTTCTAAAAACAGGTGACCTTCAATGAAAGAAGCTGATTGAGATGAGAGGGGTGGTAGCTTTTGCTAATAGGAGGAAACTTGGATATTAGTAGCAAAACCCTGATATGGACCCCAGAAAAAGCCATTTAAATTTGTTGTTTTAAGCTAAAAGGATTCAGCAGAACTCTGAATCATATCTGATACAATACTATTCAGTAAATTACATTTTTCCAAAGGAGTAACTGTCCAGCAACCATAGATGGTAACAATTTGCTATAGCCATACGTCTGCAGTGCTCTTTCACTTTTAAGACATTGCATCTTCCTTCATGTCTTCCTTTCTCCAGATGGAAGCCTCAGAGGATGCCATATTTGAAACAAAAAGTTTAACTTTTCTCATCCTTCCAGATCAATAAGGCACACTGAGGCACCGAGGGAAGCTGCCTGTCTGTGCTGCTTTCCCTTTATTAGCCTTAATTTCTGTCTGTGTAGTACCTTATGAAATAAGTTAACATAGGCTGCTTGCATACATTTAAAACAAACAAACAAAAAAAGTGATTTACCAGAAGACGCAGTATGTTACTTTGACCTGGCTTTGCAGCATCTATATAGATCAGGTGCTTCAGCAGGCCTTTTTGGCACCAATTCAATTGGCTCTTAGATAAAAGCACCAAAAAAGCTCCACTAAAGCACCTGACTTTTACAGATGCTGAAGAGCTGGGTAGAAACATATACAGATGTCAGGTGAACCAGGTCCAACGAAGGCGCTACCTCTTCTGGGCATGTGTGGGGATGTGGGAGTGTACCAAGTTTAAAGTAAAGCGTTTTTTTTTTTTTTTTTTTTT